GCGTAGTTGCCAAACTCGCCCCCCAGCGCGGCGACAATCTGCTCGATGACGCTAAAGAGCACCAGCTGAATGGTCTCATTGGAGGTCCACAGCTCGCGCAGCACCTTGAAGATGTCATCGAGGTAGACGCGAATGTGCTTCCGCACAATGCCGATAATCTGCCCCAGCTTCTGCAGCAGGTACTCCTTGATGTGAAACTCGCCCGTGCGAATGATGTTGATGAAGGGCGGGAGAATGTGCGGCAGGTAGGGCACAGAGCGCAGCTTGAGCACGCTGAAGATGAAGTAGACCGCCTGGACGGCCATGGTGTGCTGCGCAGTGGCCGTCGTGTCCTTCATCACCATCACCAGCGTGTTGATGGCCTGCGCGCAGTAGAACTCATCAAAGTTCCCTGAAATGTTGGAGAGCATCTCGTGGATGTTGATCTCCGCCTCCTCCGCCGGATCACAGCTGATCAGCGACTCGCCGGACAGGTCGATGACGCCCAGGTGGATCTTGTGCCGGTACGGGTCGACCGCTCCGAGCAGGCCGAGAACGCGCATCGTCTCGCGGCGAATGAGCGCCGACTGCTTTGAGTTTTCCAGCTTCAGCAGCGAAAAGAGAATGTCCATGAGGGCGGGGAACTTCCAGTAGGGCTCAATGACGTAGCCGCAGTTCTCAATCAGCCGACCCATCGTCCAGAGGGCAATCTCGCGCTTCTGCAGCGAGCTGCTGTCCTGAACTGCCTCCAGAATGATGGGAAAGAGCTCGTAGAACCAGGCGCGCATCTCCAGGCCGCTGACGATGGCCTGCTCGCCAATGGCCGACATGATGGCCGTGGTGACCGCCTGCGAGGGGTCAGTCAGCTTCGGCAGGAAGACCTTGAGGATGGGCTCGGTGTAGGGGCGAATGAGTCGCGGCGTGGCGGCCAGCAGGTGGCCCAGCATTCGCGCGCTCTGCTCCATGCTCCTTGGCACGCCGCTGGTCTCCAGTTCGGTGAGCAGCTCCAGGAGCACCTTGCGCAGGTAGGGCATGACGTAGGCGGGGTTGAGGCTGCACAGGCGGCCCATGATGCAGATGCCCAGCTCGCGAATCTCAAAGACCTCATCGTAGAGGCTGAGCATGAGCAGCTCCAGGTTCTCCGCCTGCGCCAGGTAGTAGTCAAAGTGCTCCTCCAGCCGACTGAGCACCGAGTAGCGGACGTACTTGTCCAGGTCGGTGATGCCGACGATGATGAGCTTGCTGAGGACGTCCTTGATGATCGGCTCGACGCCGGCGATGCTGCGCGGCTCGTGCCGACCGGCGGCGGCGGCGGTTCGCTCGAGGAAGGGCGTCAACAGGCGACAGCAGGTGTGCACCGCCTCGAGGCGAATCTCCCTACTCTCGTGACTCAGGTAGACGTCGGCGCAGGTGCGCACAAAGTGAATGAGAAACTGCGGCGCAAAGTCAAAGCGACCGAGCACCTTCAGGGCGTACTTCACCGTGGCCAGGTCAAAGACCTCATTGGGCGGGTAGGCCACGTGCGTTATGAGGGGGTTGATGCACAGAGATTTGGGCAGCTCTAGCTTCTTTCCCATGATGATCTGCGAGAGCATCCGCAGCAAGCCCTCGTGAATGTCGGTGCGCAGCTCAGGAATGAAGAGGCAGATGTCGTAGAGTGAGTTGACGAGCGGCTCCGTCAAGCCGAGGGCAAACATGGCGGGCAGAAGTTCAAAGATATCCGCGCGAACTTTTTGATCAACGGCCTGCGCCAGAAAGGCAATACAAGTGAAGACGGCCGGGTCGGGCATTAGAGCGGAGCGCTTCTTTGAGTTTGACTGCTGGTGAAGGTGGCCGTCCTTCAGCGAGGGGAAGGCCGCCCTGATTTGCTGAACAATGAGCGGCAAGTGCTGGTCGAAGGCCTGACTCGGGTGCTGCTGATAGGACTTCAGTGAAGACTTGGTCTGCGAAGACTGCTCCGAGCTTTTGGTAAGGACGGTCAGTGTTGACTCACTAACGTAGCTGGTGTTGAAGACGCCGTCCCCTTCGTCGGCTTCCTTGACGGCTAGCGCAAAGAGACCCAAGGAGATAAAGGCCAGCGACTTGGTGTTGTTGTTCTTCACACAAGCTAGTAGGTAGTTGATGCAGTCGGCAACATTGCTCTTTCGGGCGCAAAACCTGGTCGGGTCAAAGCTGATGAGGCTGGGGAGAATCAGCAGAAGAACCTGGGTGACTTGCTGCGAGTTTTTGGCGCGCAGCTGCTCGATGATCATGTGGACAATCTCCTCAAAGTGATCGCTCAGGAGGCTATCACAGACGGTAGAGTAGAGGGAGGGCTTGCTCTTCTTGAAGAGCGTGAGAATGGGCGCAATGCCCGACTCTTTGTGGTGGTTCACCACTGAATGAAGGCCGTGCATGCCGTAGAGCGGTGCACAGGCAGAAGACTCGGCATTTCGGAGAACATTCGTCAGGTTGGTGGAGCGGAAGGCGGCACTGACGGCAGAGGCGGTGGCCGCCGTCGTGGCGGTGCTAGACGACCCTACCGAACTTGAAAGCGCCGACGAAGAGACGGAATGACTTAGAGAGAGTGGTGGCATTGAAGAAAGACCGGAGTAGTCAAAGTGACTGAAAAGGTANAGGAGACAGTTTGGTAAACAAAAACAAAGAAACGCCTTTTTCAGATCTAAAATAAGCACTTACTGAGCAGAACTGAAGAGTCGCGCGAGCAGCGAAAAAGCTCGTTGAGAATGAGCAGCGANTGGTGCTAGACGACCCTACCGAACTTGAAAGCGCCGACGAGGAGACGGAATGACTTAGAGAAAGTGGTGGCATTGAAGAAAGACCGGAGTAGTCAAAGTGACTGAAAAGGTAATTGGTCAGGTAGAAGGAGTTTGTCTCATTGAAGTCCGCCTGGTTGATGTAGAGAAAGTCCAGCTCACGACTGACAGAGTCGTCTGAAAGAGAAAGAGAGAGGAGACAGTTTGGTAAACAAAAACAAACAAACGCCTTTTCAGATCTAAAATAAGCACTTACTGAGCAGCACTGAAGAGTCGCGCGAGCAGCGAAAAAGCTCGTTGAGAATGAGCAGCGAGGAGTGGACCTTTTCTTCGCGGTCTTTTGCCTGCTGTTTGCTGCTGGTTGAGCCTCCTGATGAAGAGGCGCTAAATGAAGGGTAAAGCGACGCCTCAATCGCCCGCTCGGGACACAGGCCGCGTACCACCTCAACGTAGCACTTTGAGAAGAACAGCGGTATCTGCTGGTCAATTCGTGACTGTTTGGCCTCGTTGTGATGACCGGGGAGGAAGAAGAGGCGCTCTCGCTCGACGATGACGGCCAATGTAGAGCGGAGGCAGCTGATGGCCGGTTCACGCAGCTTCGGCTCGTTGAGGGTGAAGAAGAGGGAGTCGAAGAAGATCTCCACCTTGCCGAAAAAGTAAGAGGGGGCGACATTGGCCAGTTCGCGTATGTTCAGTAAGAACGAGTGGCGCTGGGCCATGTTGATTTGTTCGCCCTGTCTCAGGTTTTCATTGGCAAGATTAATCTCAAAGTCGACAAAGCTTAGCGTGGAGGGCGCGTTCAGGGCTAGCCTGCCTACGACGCAGGCGATCAGGTCAAAGAGCTCCAAGTCAAGATTTTTCAAGTTCTTTATCACCTTTCGGTAGTAATTGACAAATGGCGACTGAATGTTGATCTTGATTTTCTGCAGCGAGGGCGCATCGAGGATGATGCACATCAGTGCGAGGCCCGACTTCAAGTCCACCAAGTCGCTGCTGTTGATCAGGCCAAAGAGCTTATTGATGACAATGCCGAGAAAGTTCTTCTTCTGCTCGTCCTCCTGATCGGCCAGCTCCTGATTGAGGTGGTGCTGCAGGTCGCGGATCGCCTTCTTCTTGCGGGCCATTTCATCTGATGACAGACCACCACTGCCGTGGTAGGTGCCCTGGCCTGCGCTGGGGCCACCCACTCCGCCGCTTCCGCCACCACCGCTGCCTCCAGTTCCACCGCTGCCCGAGCGAGCGGACTTTCCGTCGCGCATCTCCGCGAGGAAATCGTTCACCCATGTTTCGTAGTCCCTGCTTCTCGTGTCCATCGCTGATGCTGTCAGTGAATGTGCCAGTTTGTTGTGGGTGGGTAAGTGGGGGCTTAACAATCATCGAAGAGGAATCTTCTGAAAAGCCACTTCTTCGGTAATTACGCAATCAAAAGGGCGATTTCAATTACGCCCTTCTCGTTTTGATAAGGAAGTGAGAGAAAAAGAAGAGGCAGAGGAACAACTAGAATGCGTCTTTGAGAGAGCGAGAGACGTAAACAAACCACCGCACCGCGACTGGCAAAAAATAATAAAACGTTATGTTTCGCTATGTTCGTAGAAGACGTACTGAAACTTTAAAACTTTCTTTCCTGGACCGCCGGAAATCCCTTGGAATCGCCTAATTAGCTGCCACACTAATTACCTGTTATGAAGTAAGTTCGAGCCATTGAGATTAGTCAGCGTAATCATCATCATCTAATCTTGGTGGTAGTGATGACGACAAATGAGCTGGCTGCTGCGTAATCACAGACAGTGTCGCAGATGTGCTTTATTTATGGCACCTCTTGACCGTGAGCTCGTGATGATCGGTTCTATCGACTGATACGGACTGATACTGGTCTGGTGCAAAACCTGAAGGCCAGCCTCGGCCCATAAATTATTATTCACACAATATGTGTAATATGAGTAATCAGTGACGTCGTCGATGTTTTGTTTTTACAAGTTAAACCAAGCGCCCTTTTGCAAGCGATACTAAGAAAACGTTGCGATGTCGACACAATGTAACAACAGGTGAAAATTTTAAAAAAAGAAAAAGTTGGGGTCAAAATTTTTAAAAATAGGGAGAAGGGGTAAAAAATTTACAATTTCTGATTTTCAGCAGTTGAACGTAACCAGAACTCAACATCACTGACTCATTTTTCAACCTGGACCTAGCCCAGTGCTATCTCACTGCTGATTTCAATCGATCCGTCATCTGCAAATGTTGATTTATTACCGTCTGCCTNACAAGTGCCTTTTTGCAAGCCATACTAGGAAAACTTTGCGATGTCGACACAATGTAACAAAAGGTGGAAACTTTCAAAAAAAAGGAAAGTTAGGGTCAACATGTTTAAAAATAGGGAGAAGGGGTAAAAAATTTACAATTTCTGATTTTCAGCAGTTGAACGTAACCAGAACTCAACATCTCTGACTAATTTTTCAACCTGGACCTGCACCAGCGCTATGTCACTGCTGATTTCAATCGATCCGTCATCTGCAAATGTTGATTTATTACCGTCTGCCTACTTGGGACTACTTAATTCACCAAAGAGTGAGGAATGCGTATTAACGTAAGAAGTTGGTGCCAATAAAAAAACATTGGAGCCACTTCAACAGCTTTGGAATGTCAACTGGGGACTGACTGACTGCGAGTGTATGATCACCAGAGCAGTGGGTAAGCAGGTAATCAGCTCGGGTGGTGATCATGAAGTCACCAGAGTATAAAAGGCAAAGTCAGGGAGCAGTGATGGCCAGACGCACCCTTTCCTCTCTTCTGACTGACTGATCGAGTGAGCCATAATCCCCCACAAACCACCATCTCAAAACCTGCTTACTAGTGAACTACTCCAGTTTGCCAACACCCCACCACCACTTCTAGTCCCAAACTCCCCTCTCCCAAACTTAAAATGGCCAATCTCAAAGGTAAGCCTAATCTGTAAGCATAAAAGCGAACATCACCTTCCACCTCTTCCTCCTCAATTCTCCCCAGCCCTTCTTCTCATCGCCATCTTCGGCGCCGTCTTTCTGCAGCAGCACTGTACTGTTGCGGTGCCAGTTGGTGATGATGAGGCTGCAGCAGCAGTGGTAGACCACCACGAAGAAGAGGCCGTCTTCCCCGAGGAGCAGCACGCAGAGGTGGCCGTCGCCGAAGGTGAAGAGCCTCCACCCAAGTTGAAGGCGGCAGCCACCACAAAGAAGGCCACTACGAAGAAGGGAGGTGCGGCGACCACGGCGAAGGCAACCACAAAGAAAGCGGCGGCCGCGGCGACCACGAAGAAGCCAGCCGCTGCAGCGACCACCGCCAAGGCGACCACAAAGAAGCCCGCCGTAGCGGCCACCACCAAGAAGCCCACCGGTGGCTCGCAATCCATTCGTAAGTCAAAGTAAAAAGCTAGGTGAATTCTCAACCATTATTTTTTGTACTACCAAATCTAGAACTCGCCTGGAGTCATCTGTTCCTCAGTCTGCTCGCGTTTGGCTGGTTCTTCGGCTTGAAGCACTGAACAATGGCGTGGCTAGATGAGAAGGTGTGATCAATAATTTTTTTCCCAAATTCAAAAACAAATTAACCAGACACCGCGTGGACAAACTTACTTACTGCATAGGGCTACTGCATTCTATTTTACCTTTTTTTGTTATTTTTATTTATTTATTACTCTTTTTCTTACCCTCACTACTATTCTTTACTGTACTAAAAATGGCAAGCTGATTGAACAATAAAACACACACAAATTCTTGGTTGGCAAAAAAAAGCGGAGTACATTTTAAAATTCCTAACCGTTCTTTGCGAGCGCCCCATCGTCTCGGTCGAATCACTGTTATTGTGTGCGTCTCTCCACCTCTTGTGACAGCATGTTTTGGTTGCTGCTGGCGCCTGCCGATCTGCTTGGCCAGTCCGCCACCACCACCTTCTTCTCCATTAACCTTCTTCTTCTCCCTGCTCCCAACTGACAGCATGTACCACGAATCTCGAAGCTAGGAGTTCTCCTGGCGGCCACCGGCTGCGCCCCAAGTGTCCACGTGTTTGTCCTCTCTTCAGCACCTGTCCACACAAGGTGTATGCTCAAGGTGTAAACACTGGTGCGAACGAAGGGAACGAGTGAGTCACCTTCTTCCGCCCTCTCTAAGAACGCTGTCAAAGGAGTCGCCTATCTCTTCATTTTTTTCTGCCATCTTCTTTCCTGAAAGCAGTCTTTACGTGACCCAAGTGAGCTCAATGGAACTTAACAGCATTATTGACGCTCTTCGGCAGAACTTGGGGGATAATATAAAGAGACAACTCAAGCGACAGCAGTTTAACTTTTGCACCAAGTTTAAGGCTCGCTTTGACCGGAATGTGCCCCCGCTGGTGGGCGTTCTCTATCGCGACCTGGAGCGCACCTTTGATGCAAGCCTGGGCCTAATTATTTCTCGCTCTCTTGATGAAATCCACCTGACCAAGACTGACAATGCTAACCCAAAACCAGCAGCCAACCGAACGGTTCCGAACCCTTCCTCAAGTTCTGTCAAACAGAATCCAACAAGTGGGGAGGCTGCGGAATCTGTCGACAGAAGTGAGGATTCACCGGTAACCGATGAAGGTGAAGTTGGTCAACTTGACGAGGATGGCGACAATGGCAACGCGGGTGAACTGCAGAGTCAACCGCTGAAGGATGGCAACACTCGAAAAAGACGGCTAGAGGCTGAACCGCAGAGCAGCCAAAAATCGGCTTCAGAGCAGTCCCTAGTAGCCATCAACCGAACAGTGGGAGGTATGATCAAGGAGTGCATCATCTGCCCCATTGACTTGTGCTTTGTTATTTGCAACAACAAACCCGAACTCGACGAACATCTCATTCACAACCACAATCTAAGACCCTTTTGCTGTGCGCTTAGAGGCTGTAATCTCTACTTTCTTGAAAAGTGAGTTTCTACTTGTGCATACGATGTTTAGAGGCGCTAACCCTTTTCTCCCTTTTTAGAACCAACCTTCTGAGCCACCAGCTGAATGCCCACAAGGGAATCACTGAATGGCAGTGCGGGGAGTGCAATAAGATTCTTCCCAGCCACCTGCAACTCAATCGCCACCACACTTTGGAGCACTATCACCGCGTCTATTGCTGCACNGTCACTGAATGGCAGTGCGGGGAGTGCAATAAGATTCTTCCCAGCCACCTGCAGCTCAATCGCCACCACACTTTGGAGCACTATCACCGCGTCTATTGCTGCA